TATGGATGCATTCTTTGCAGCCGTTGAAATGCGTGACGATCCATCGTTGCGTGATATTCCAATGGCGGTTGGCTCCGATTCCATGCTGGTATGTTTTTACCGTTGTTCACATTTGACACTCGATTTCTGAACTAGCGTAATGCTAGTTTTTGCTTCTTGCAATTTTCTTAGCTTTACACACAGGCATTTGAGGAATAAACTGCGTACAGATCCAAAAGTTTTGTGCATATTTTAAAAACACTTTCACAGCTAGACAACTGGAAAAGAATTAATAAATCAAGCAGTGCACTTTACTCAATTTGTACTAATACACAGCATAATTTCGAGGTTAGAACGAACAAAAAAAAAGGCACACGAAAGGCATCGCTTTTGTGATTGTTTCAGAGTACTTCCAATTATGTGGCTCGTCGTTATGGGGTTCGTGCAGCAATGCCAGGTTTCATCGCCAAAAAGTTATGTCCTGCACTGAAAATTGTTATTCCCTCATTCGGCAAATATCGCAAAGCAAGCTTAGAGGTTATTGCTTTTTTTTTTTTCTTCAGTTATGTGCAAGGATTTGAAAGTTCAGAATGATAGAAAATGCAGAAAATCGTTTGTGAAGTATGGCTTCTTGCAATTTAAATATACTGAGACTTGTTTTTTAGGTCCGAAAAATATTCAGAGAGTATGATCCGTATTTCTCAATGGGTAGTTTGGATGAAGCATACATGGATTTGACTGACTGCCTTCAAAAGCGGCTTCAGGACGGCAAAATGGGTTCTTTTTACTTTTTTTTTACTGCAGTTTTGACTGGGATTATCTTTTTTTTTTTTTGATCTTCTTTCCGCTCTTGCCTCAAATGCTGTTAAACCCATGTTGTTAATGCCGTGAGTGAAACCAGAGGATCTGGTTGCGGTCTTTTGTGAAGTTATGTCGATGCTTCGATGAGCTATGTGAGTGGAAGCGCAGCAGTGAAATAACATCTTTTTAGAATATTGAGCCTCGACACTGTCTGGATGTTTTACTTCTTCCATTGCATGGTGAGGTCCCCCCCCCC